ATGGTCTAGTCTTTAGATAGGAGGGGCCATGGTCTCTTCTTAGTTAGTATGTCATGGGGCCAGTGTATTTCAAAGAAAACAAAATTTTTGAAAGTCTTTAGCTCTCTGATTATGAAACTTCTTTTTGCAAAGTATTCTACACCCTCAAACCCAATTAGTGTCAGTGTTATTTGCAGCATTTGGCACATCCAAAATTCAGTCAGCATTTGGAAACACAGAATCAAATATAAGTTTCAAGGGCATCATCCTGTATTGCAGACTTTTAAATAAGCTTATTCAAAGAAAAAAAGGGCTTCTTAGTCTAACATAAATTGAAATCTTATACATTCTTCCTAATGCCATAAAAAACACTTTGCAGATGTAAGCAGTTCTTGCAAGACAGAAAATTGTGATTCAGCATGTTAGTGCTTACGAATCAAAAATTTAAATGAACACAGATTGATTACTGGCTAATTAGTATCGCTAGAAGCTGAATTTAAATCCAAAACTTCGATGTTTTTTCTGACTGTCTAATTCTTTTATTGGAAAAAGTTTCACATCAAGTGAAATTTCAGTCTTGTCGAACGAAAATGAAAAGATTTGAAATGTCCCACTTTCTTGGAGAACAGAAATTCCCCTCTGCTCACCAGCCCTTCCTCAACCTGTGAAAACTGAAGTAAGTTTACAGAAAGTATTTACACTACATTAATAGAAGAAAATATTGACACTTGGAAAAGTAGCAGCATTCCCCTGGTTTTCTTGTGTGCCCCTTTAGACTAAACATACTCTGAAATGTTCTGGCATGTGGCATGTCTTTGTCCCAAAGATTGTGATGTTCCATACAAATATTATTCTCCTCTAGTTTTATAACTGTGGCTCTAACGAAAATAATTTCCCATTGTAGAACTGGAGAGGTTTGGCATTTTAATGGCATGGGGGGGCAGAGGGAGGGAGTTGCTGCTCTGAAACATTACTGAACAAACACTTTCTTGGTGACATTGGGAGGTTCTGAACGCTCTCTGCTGCCATCTTTGTGAGTGGAAAGGCTCAATGTGTTGCAGTTCTTCACCTCCAATTTTCCATCAAGCTGTTCACTAAAATATATATCTGTTGCAAAGAAAAGTCTCAGTGCCAAGTTTGAGAATAGATGACATTTCAACATGTTTGTTTTCAACTATTGAAATATATGTGTTCAATTTTCTGTTTCTTGCTGGTTTGGCTTTTGTAGTTAAATGAGAGCCAGGTGCAACAGCTCAAGACTTGCTTGAACTGTGATGGTTTGCTGATCTCTTTACTATAAGTGTGCACAAGAAAGATGGTATAAACGGCTTGCCTTTTTCTTAAAGCCGCAAAGGTCATTACAGTTTTAATACGCTCAGGTGGTGCTTCAAAGAGCTCTTTGTTATTTTACGCGGCTAATTCTAAGTAGATCTACATGGTATTTCCAGTACCAGAACCTCAATTAAGCGCTTTATTCTTGTAAAACCTTATTTCTGTTAAAGCTTGAATTACTAAACCTCAGTGTTTTAGAACTTTTTTAGCCTTATAGTAAGTGTGTCTGAAAATAAACTGGCATCGACTTTTTCAGTATCATTTAATATGCATAACAAACCCACTAAACTGAAAAAAGCAGAGTTATGTTTTGGAGGAGATTGGATTTCCAAAAGAACAAAACGAAGTTTTAGCTTCGACAACAGGCTGGGGAACAAAAGGAAACCCAGGTCATTGAGGAAAAGTACCTAATCATCATGTCAGCTTGACATACTCAATTGTAGGATGGAACTTTCTTTTTGGTAATCTGTTTTGAAAGCCATGAAATAGTCCGATAGCAAATGTTAATCTCTCAAGATGTGTGAAACCACTAAAAATAACAACCACTGCAGACCCGGTTTGCATGGTGTTGACCTGAATAAGGGGATAATGTGCTTAAGCAGCTTATTCATTCTTCAGTGCCCTTTGGAAAGGGAGAGGTCCCACAATGGTTTGCCTCTCAGGGCTCAGACGTGACCACTGTTCTTTTCACTTGCTGAATGTTTTCATTCTCCTGTCTCCGCCCCAGGTTTCTTCATACGTTGTTCCAAACAGGACTATAAAGGAACTTTTTGGGGCTATTTCTTGTTGAACTGTAACGTTTGTGAAGGAGAATGCACTGAGCTGTAAAGGAATTTTGAACTCTGGGTATATAGCTGGCCAAGCTTTTCATCAGAGATGTGTCGCTGAATTAATTGTCTCTGCTTGTGAGACTTCCCAGGCTGGAAGTTTAAACATACCCCAGAAACATGGTGTTAATTGTGTTTTAAATATTCCACATAACATTTCTGCATCAAAGATATGTGAGTTAATTCGTACAGCGGTCTTGTAAGTGGAGCTGGTTCTGAATTTTAGCACTGGCTGTAGACTTAAACGCGCACAGACGTGAGAGATGCAGCAGTGGCATAACAGCCTGCGTTTCAAGGCAGACCCGTGGCTTGTGTAGCACTTCTTAAATGGCGTAACTGCAAACACTTACTTCTCTTGAACTGTCACAGAATCACTGTCTAACAGAAGCTGGCTTCTCGAAGGAGTCAGTATGACACAGTTTGGCCACAAAGTATTTGGAAATGTGTCTTTGGAATTTAAAAAATAAAGGGACCAAAATGCATGTGTGTCTCTTTTTCACTTTGGGCACTGTTTTACAAAATGAGAACACAAACTGATTTTCTTAATAAAAATCTCGCAGAAGTATGTTAAAAGAGCAAATCAGTTTGGAAAGAAGAAATATGGGAGTTGGAAAGGGGATGTTACTTACGCTGAATTGGACCATAGAGCATGTGGTATGCTTGCACAGGACACAGAGTAGCAGAAGCCTGCCGGCTTGGACAACTGCGACAGTGGCATTTTAGAAATGGGATTGCTGTTTCTGAGTCTTCCCGTGATGCTCCCGGCAGAGGATCCTGCCATTCGGCAGTTCTGCTTTCCAACTTTGAGTGCTCAGTCTGGTGGGAAGCATGATGCAACTCCCACGGGGCTTCCAAACTGGTCTTAAGGTTCACATTGCTAAACAGTTCATTTGCAATTCCTGTGAATTTATTTCCCAGCAAAATAAAATCAGCCTTGATTTGTCAGAGTCTTCTGAGGTCATTTTAAATAATTAGGCAAACTCAAAATGGAAATAAAAAGGTAGTTCCAGAAATAGTTGTTGTCTACAAGTTTGGAATTGATTATATAAAAAAAGAAGAGCATACAAAATGGAAAATTACTTTGGAAGGTACCTGACAGTAAACTCTTGCCAGGTTTTCCTGCAATATTTGGGATAGGTACATAATTATGATTTTGATTTTGCTGCTAGAATACCTACAGTAATGTAAATCACAGGTAAAATTATTTAAACCAAAGAATATGCTAATTAAACAGTAATGCTGCTTAGAATTGCTGAAGGGAATGAATAAAATACTTATAATATAATGACCTCAGCTTCATTTACAAAGTAATTTTTATTTTGAGCTTTATTCATTCTCCAAACAGTTAAGCTATCAACATGTGAAAGTCTAAGTAATGCATTAAAAAGAGCTTTGAAAAGCTTTAGCAACAATTTTAGAACAATTGGCTTTAATTCTGCTGAGTTTTTGTATTGATTGTTTAAACATTTTGATTGGATATCTTTAATTTTTTAGGGGAGTGCAGAGAAAAGTGAGGGAGAGACAAACATCTCTATCTTGAGGTCTATGTTAGGATACTCCCAGGGGAGGCAGAATACAACCAAAGGTTTTAATTTTTATAGTGATTCAAATCAGTCTTCAATGTGGCTGGTGACCCAGAGGATTTTTCATTTCTACAGCATAGAAGAGCTGTGAAGGCAATTCTGGCACTTCACTAAAATACAGAAATCAAATTTCTGATTCCTAGCCTGAAGCAGGCTGAGCAAGGTTTCCAGCCTTGTTGCTTCATGTTGCATGTTGAAGGCTCTCTTGGAAAGAGGGTGATCTGTATTTTTCTTTTTTCCTAGCTGAAGCTGGTCTACAAATTTTGGCAGCTGTTGTTGGTTTTGCAAATTGTTTTTGGATGAAAAATGTTTAGTCAAGCTCTTGACCGATTCTGCAAGTTGTTTGGGCGTATGTGGGAGAGTTGCACACTGGTTACTACTGAGAAATTAGCTTATTCGTTTCCAGAGGCCAGGGAAAAATAATAGCCATGAATGTCTTTATATGAGAGTTCCGGGAAGAGCCAGTGAAAGTGTTAAGACTGGGGAATTGCTGTAGCTGAACTGAATTGTCAGAAGTGCAAACCACTTTGAACATGATTAGAAAGTAAATTATAATTTTGAAATAAATCAGACCAAAGACAAGACTTTCCAGTAGGGAAGGCATAGAATAATAGAGGGTTGGTGTGTTTGTGGACCTAGGGGAAAGTCTAGATCACAAATATGAAGGAAGAAAATGTTCAAGTTTTAAGCATAGAAGAATTCAGAAATCATACCCAACTGATGGACATGGATAACTGAAATGGAGAATGCTGAAATCTAAACTGATAGTTTAAAAAGATTGGAAGTAAAAGGTCGAAGGCTTGGTTATGTTTTCGCATATTCAGTTTTAGAAAGCAGCACATTTTCTGAGTATCAGCTCATCAACACTGTGGAAACGATGTACTCTGGGAGGGATTTGTGAAACGTGATGATAAAAGTAAAGAAAACAGCTTTTTAAAATGTCAGAGCACTGTCAGGATGGAGAGTAAAAAGAGAAAAGCACTAACTGAGGCTTTAAAAAAGGTACTTTTGAAACCTGACTTCCTAGAATAAACTTTTTCACTTGGAAACAATACACTTCCGTTTAGGCTAAAGTATCCTTTTTCCTTGGTACAAAAGGGTATTTCTTTTAATCTTTGTTTTATGTTTCTTCAGTCTTTATATAGAGGTGGATAAATGGATATGTACTTAATATGCTTGGGTTAATCCTCAAACACTGAATTGTTGTCCCCCTTGTTATTAACTTAGAGCATATTAGTGCAACTTGCTCATATAATAGTTGAAACAATTTTTTTAACAGACATTGCTGAAAGATCCTTTATATATTGGGCTGAGGCACAAGAGAATCAGAGGTCAAGCCTACAATGATCTTCTTGATGAATTCATGGAAGCTGTGACTTCAAGGTATGTGATCTATCTGGGCTATTCATTGATGAATTCCACTGTGACCTTCACCTTGGGAGAAATAAAGGTCAGCAACTTATGAAAAGATGACAGAGGTGGTAGGTTCCAGATCTTTTTTTAAGCATGGTATTGTATAAGTTTATAAGTGCCTGAACTATTTGCCTTTAATGTTGCAGTTTTATGAATTCACTGCAGGGGTGGTAATAAAGCTCATCTTGAGGTGAGCGAACTAGGTTTTCAACCTTCTTTTTTGAAATTTGGATTGTTAAGTATTTGCCTAATAGTTTTCTATGCCTGGCGCTATGCCTACGTGATTTTCTCCCACTCTATGATTTTATATATGAGATGTCAGCAGCCTGAAAGAAGCTATCATACTTGGCAACCCTCACCAAAACCAAGACGAGACTAAGCTTTCAGTGTTGATTTAAATGTCATGCTATGGGCCTGTACCACGTTGGCTCTTTCTCTTGCTTCTTTTTTTCCTTTAGAGAAAGTAGTTAAATTTATTATTAGAACATGACACATAAAATAGTTCTTCTCACATGTCAAATATCACGTTCGCTCATATTTTCCCTGTTTGTTAAAATATTTGGAGTTCTAGCCCTGTATTCTGTGTGTATACCTAAAATAGCCCAAGTGCCAGGATCCATAGTGGAATGTGTTTTCTGCATCTGCATCCCAAAGCTGGGGCTGAGCTGTGAGATCTGGAAATACTCTCCAGATCTTCAGCTGTGACTTGTGCCCCATCTGCATTTTGACTCCACGTTGAGACCTTGATGTACATGACCTCTGTTGTTCCTGCTCTGGTTCCCGTGCAAAAGAAACTTAATTTCCATCCCTGAAGCACATATTCCTTCATGTATTACCCTACCCTTCCCCATTACGCCCAGTTGGCTGACACTCCCTTGTTCTTAATCCTTCTATGGAAGTTGCTGGCTTGGCTCTGCCCTCTAATGTGATTGCTCCTCTTCTGAGTATTCCCTTTCAGATAAAATTGTTGTATTTTCACCTTTCTAATGAAAGGTTCAGAGCATTTGAAATTGCTCTGTGGACCACATTTTCGGAATCTCTAACTTAATGCACTCCCTAACTCACCCTGTCTGTAAAATGAACCACAGTTCGTAATGAAGGAAATCATCAGAGTCAAGCAGAAGATTACCTCAATAAGGTCTGGTTGACATGCTCTATTTAAACATCTTTAAAACTCTGTAATTTTGAGCAATTATGAGCAATTTATGTTTGCTTGACCTTCTGAAAGATCACTTCGTTCTCAGCTAAATCTGTCATGGTCTCCAATGCCATCATCTATTTCATGTTTAAAGTGGAGCACTTATAAATTCAAACTTTTCATGGTTTAATAGTGAATTGTTTCGGCTGTGGTTTGCCACTTGCAGCTGATTCTGGTGTGGTGGGTCTGACTGTTGAAGATGCAGGTTGTGATTCGGTTTCTTGTGTATTACTTTTTCTTGCCAGCCATTGTGGTAATCTAGGTAATTGTATACTTTAGTTAAATGCTGTTTATCTTTTCCTTGTGAAAGTTGCTCTTAAGTTTTTCCTCATTTTAACTTAGTCTTCTGCTGCCTGTTTCACAGGGGGAGTATTTGCTTTGCTACTCTTAGATGGATGTTTGCTCTGTCACATTTAAGCTAGCCATGGTACTCCAGAAGAGGCCTGATTTAGCATTTCCTAATCATTCAAGCATGGGAGGAGTTCTGGGGAAATCTGTTGTCTCGTCTTCAGTACCACGGAATATTCATCTCCAAGACATACATGACCATGAACATCACGAAGTGCAAGGCTATCATGTATTTTTAATAAGCCAAATCCAAAGACAGGCTCTTAAGGTGATGACAAATATTTTCAAGACAAAAGACAGCAAGTTGGAAAACTATGTTAAATGCCTGTTTTAGATCTTTTCACTTTTGTAATTCTCCAGAGGCACCAAATGCTAATAGAAGTGAGAGCCAGGTTTTAGCAGCGCTGCCTGGGAACAAGCGGGAATAGGCAGCTGTACAGGGCAGTGCATTGTGTACAGGCTTTTCAGCAGCTTCCAGGGACTTCCTAGACATGCACATCATCTTGATGAATCATTAAATTTTGGACATCTATGTTTTTATAAGATGATGCAGCATCATTTTTCATGTTGAAACGTCACCTTTATACAGTAAATGTCGTGATGCACAGTAAAGAAAACGCTTTATAAAGAAGCATGTCATATGAAGGTATAGTTTCATCCACTACAATATTTTCCTCTTCTTGGCCTCCACTGCTACTCACCCCCAAAAAGCTTTTCATATGAAACAAAATTATTTATGAAAGAGTTGGGATTTAAAAAGAAAACAACCCACAGCTTAAACCATCCATTACTAAAAGGCTGTGGTACAGTATCCAGTCTGCTATCATGGCACATAGTACAATGTGATTTTTCCCAGATGTGGGAAGGCAGAAGCATATGGAAAGTATCTGGATTTCTGTTGACATAAATCCAGTGAACAGCTTTTATTTATTTACGTGTGTGTACAGTTAGCTGTTTATTTATTTATTGCCAGTTCCAGCAGCTGCCCTCTCTGAGGGCAGGTGTTACAGTTTCTCTGGACATTACCAGGTGTTTCTTGCTTTTGTGTTCCTGCAGTAATTTAGAGAAACAGGAATATTCTAAATGGAAGGAATATTTTATAACATGAGAAAAAATCAGATATCTTCATCACAGATGAACATAAATCAAATTGGAATTCAGAAATGCTTGTTATACTCTGCCCTATGGAGAAATGGGTCATAAAACATTTTATACAGAGAAGTAAATTTTTCCAAAAGAGAAGTTGTTCTTAAATATCTATGTTTACAGAGGAAACTCTGAGAGGAAGGATTTTTAAACAAGGCTGGGATCGATTCACCAAGGCTTCCTGTATAACCAGAGGAAATATCTTTTTATTCCAGTTCCTATTTCTTCCCTACTTGCCTGAAGTGATGCAAAGAGAAATATATCAGTGGCCAGGAGGCATTCATGTACAACAGTGAATGGATTATGGAAATGCTTAGGGGGAAAATATGTAGAATTGAGATGGAACAAGAAATGAGGGGAGAGCCAAAAAGCACTGTTTTAATCAACAGGGACATGAATTTCCTTGTTTAATGCAAAAAGTAGATGTAAGGGGTCTGGAAATTCCTTCCTTATTTTGAATTAGACTTAAATTTCCCAAATCTGGTAAAGATAACTCCACCTCGAACCCCTCAAAAATACCAGACTAGGGAAGAACAGCATCCTACCAGCTTGTTTTCTGCTGCAGACCGTCCCCAGTGGCAAGCCACTGTGCACTGGGGAGGAACAATACTGACTTGAACCTCTGGTCTGTAAACAGATAGGAAACTTTTAGAAAATTGAAAAAATCTGTTGTAATTCCCATAGGTTATTTCCTTGCCCACCTACTGCAACACCAAAGAGTTGAGCGGAATTATATTCTGTTATAAGCTAAACCCCATAGACTTGTAATGCATAAAAGCAACCCTGTATCACTGAAATTATCTTTCTGTCCACGTGTGATGGCGAGTTTTCAGTTTCACTTCAAGTTGCAAATAGTAGTGGTGGAGCCTTGAAAAGTAGTATCATGTGTCGTTTACGTTCTCTTCTGTAATCATATTTTAATTGAATCCTTCCCCACTCTTTTTATATGCTGTGCTTTTCTGAAGTTTGTGAGCTATAAACCAAGCTGCTGACAATTGTAATTCAGTATGTTCTGTCCTAAATTACTATGTTGTAGTCGTTATTCCTCATTTGCCTAATTACATTATTCACAGATGGTAGCAGGGTTTCATTTCATATCACGTGTTACTTTAAAACAGTGTTTTATGGTAAGTATGGTTTATCTAACTTTGAGAACAACTGTAGGAGTAACATATCCACAAAATAACAATACACAAGTATTTTGAAAGATGTTTTCATTTAGTAGATTACATTAGACTATAATTGAATATGTGAATAACTTCATTAATTCGAACAGCCCTTTTTTTTGTCAAGAGAGTAAACTGGCAAGAACTCAACATAAAAGGTGAGTGTAGCTGTGCATCATTAAGAAAGTTGTGGGACTACACAGTGTTTCTGACAGTACGTTTGGGCGCAGATTGTGAGTACAAGAACATCAGTGCCTCTGTCCTTTCCTGCGCTGTGGTGGTGCAAGACCAAGACTTGTACCATGCCTATACCTTCCCACGTTGTTCAAGTTGAGGTGGCTGTGAGAAAGTGTGCAGGAAGGAATACTGCTGTGTCAACTCCCCTCTATGGCAGTCTCAGTGAAGGTCTTTTCTGTTTAAATATTTTGTCCCTCAGTGGGATTTAGGCCCTTCGAGCCAATTTTTCAAGTCTATGACTACCTTTTCCCTCCACCGTTCAGTGAATATTATCTTCCCAGTGAAGATGGCAGTGGACAGCAGGATAGGAGAAAGGTGGGTCGTTTGGCAGAAGCCCGAACACTGCCTTGACTGCAGTTACAATTGCTCTTTGAACCGGCCTTCAGTTCCTTCCTGTGGTTACATATGAGGTTTGTTTCCAGTCACTGATGGGTTTGTGTTCTTCCTGAAGTATGCTGGTCCACAGACTTGAGCTTTCTTGCCCACCTAGGCTCTCAGGTAGACTTGGCTTTTGTTCTGACAGGGTAGAACCGTTCAGGAGGATCCTCAGGTAGTTTCTTATGAAGAAAGGCCCTCATACTCAAAAACATTGGGGTTTTGAAGCAGGGGCTGTTGCTTTGGATAGTGGTGGGTATTGTGGAAGAGGAAAACTCAAACAGTTTGATAATCAGTGTTTATTTTTATTCTACTTCAAGCAGCTGTGATGGTTTGTCTGAGGAAAATCTTCAAGTTTTGTGATTAACCAGGATAATGAATTGTAACTGTTATCACGGCGCACTTAAATTCCCAACAGATGATGCCACCTGTAGAAAGTTGTTAAGGAACACTGAGCCCTTCCCTAAGCCGTGGTGGGGTATCCTGCTTGGAGCTGTCCT